TTTATAATAACAACCACATTCTGGCTATGAGATTCTGGTTCACTGGTCATGAATTGTTTAACACATTATAACGTTTTCAAATAGGTGTGACCCACGATTTTATGATAACTATAGTGGAGAATTTCGAAGATTCTAGGTTTCTATCATTCATATGCTCGATCAGTGATGTTTATATGTATTTGAAGATATGTATAATTCTCTTAAAATCGAGAAATTGTCTAATTTCTCACGATTCTATATTACACGACGATTCGCAGAGGTCACACCTTTTTGCACCTGATCATGAATTGTATATAGTTATTGCATGCGAAGTATGCAATAACTGCTGTATTTTATGTTCTCTTCTGATCGGTAATCCAGCCGTAGCGGCTGGTTACCAATCATCAGCAGTTGATGCATACAATACCGGTTTTATTCAATGATTTACTATCTCAGTTTATGAAATAAGATCAATACCATAAAATAATTGATTTATTTTATAGACTGACCATAGTAAAGCATTGAATAAAAAATAATTACTTTTAACTATAAGATATTAATAATTTTGGATTTTTAGATTTTAATTGACAAATATATATCATACGTATATGAGAATCAAATAGTATTTTATTGTACATTTAAAATTTTAATAGAGAACAGTAAGAAATTTAGCACTATGGAACATGGAATCCCAACACTACACGCCTAAGAGTTTTGTTGCCTAATTTTTTATACAGTTATCTGTAGATTTTGAAAACCAATAGAATGCCTTCTCTTCATCTATCTCAACACCTATGCCTTTTTTGTAGCATAATCCAAGATTATATTGTCCTTTAAAATTATCACTTTTAGCAGACTTCAAATACCAGTTGAATGCCTTTTTTTCATCGCATAAAACCCCTATTCCATATTGATAGCAATATCCAACATTATTTTGTCCAACAGAATTACCATTTTCTGCAGATTTTAGGTACCATTCAAATGCCTTCGTTTCATCTTGATTGACACCAACACCATTTTGGTAACATAGTCCGAGATTGCATTGTCCTTTAGAGTTACCACCTTCGGCAGATTTTAAATACCACTCGAACGCTTTCTCTTCATTTTTATCAGTACCTATGCCATTTTCATAGCACCAACCAAGATTATTCTGACCTAATGTATTACCACCTTCAACTGATTTTAAGTACCATTCAAATGCTTTCTTTTCATCTTTAGCAACGTATATACCCTTTTCATAACAATATCCAAGATTACATTGTCCATAAGAATTTCCATTTTCTGCAGACTTTAAATACCATTCAAATGCTTTCTTTTCATTTTTGGCAACACATATACCTTTTTCAAAGCAATATCCGAGATTACATTGACCGCGGGAATTTCCACCTTCAGCAGATTTCATATACCACTCAATTGCTTTTCTTTCATCCCTGCTAATTCCTATTCCATTCCGGTAACACCATCCAACGTTATTTTGTCCGTAAGAATTACCGCTTTTAGCAGCTTTCAAATACCATTCGAATGCTTTATTTTCATTTTTGATAGCACCTATTCCATTTTCATAACACACACCAACATTATTTTGTCCAACAGAATTGCCACTTTCAGCAGATTTCAGATACCATATAAATGCTTCATTCGTATTTTTAGCAATACCAGTTCCATTTTCATAACACATTCCAAGATTATTTTGTCCTTGTGAGTTACCACCTTTTGCAGATTTTAAATACCATTCAAATGCTTTCTTTACATCCTTAGTAACATGTATACCCTTTTCATAGTAATATCCAAGATTGCATTGTCCTCGATAACTACCACCTTTTGCCGATTTTAGATACCATTCGAAGGCTTTACCTTTGTCTTTGGCAATACCTACACCATTTTCATAGCACCATCCAATATTACATTGGCTATCAAAATTACCACCTTTAGCGGACTTTAAATACCATTCAAATGCTTTCTTCACATCTTTAGTAGTACCTATACCATTTTCGTAACATAATCCAAGATTATTTTGTCCTTGTGTGTTTCCATTTTTAGCAGATTTAAAATACCATTCAAAAGCTTTCCTTTCATCATTAGTGACGCATATACCTTTTTCATAATAATATCCTATGGTACGTTGGCTATGAGAATTACCACCTTCAGCAGATTTTAAATACCACTCAAATGCTTTATTTTTATCTTCAGCAACACCTATACCATTTTCATAACACCAACCAACTTTACATTGTCCTTGAGGATTCCCACTTTCAGCAGATTTCAGATGCCGTTTAAATACTTTCGTTTCATTTTTAACCATATTTGTGATCTCTTCATAGCAATCAATTAAATCATCATCTCCAACAAATTTTGAATTTTTTCTTTTCATATTTTTCAATGTCCTTAATAAAAAACGTGGCATATCTTTGGACGATTTAATTCACCAACTTGGCTTCGAAGAATCAAACTATACTTTAATCTTAGAAAAAATATATGTATTCATTAAATGTAAGTATATGCGTACAGTACATACGCATAGTACTGTACGTATAATATACAAATATATCTAATGCCAAAAAAAAATTATTTATTCTTGTTTTTGTTACACCGGGAATTATATTCCGAACGTACCAATCTACATATATATAAATTTTTTACATATAACTTAACAAAGAATTGGGTTATACATATTATGCTTGTATACCATAAGTTAATATATCTATGGGCATGACCGAACAATTCTGGAAATGATTGTTTTTGTTTACAATCATCACTGAAGCATATATCTTTGTGATACTATAAAAATGTTTTTTTTTAGAATCAATGGAAGTTTTAATATTTCACTGTTTGATATTATATTTTGATGTTTTTTCTGGATTTAGATATCCGTGTTACTTTAATTTTTTTTAATGCAGTAACTTCGCACCTTTTATGGTTATTACTATAAATCTAATGTACATACGTACAAAATTTTCATATCATTATCGTTGTGCTCAATGTTACTACGTATTGCAGAAATTGCAATAACGATAAGCATTACGTATGTGTTTTTTATACGTACTGCGTACAACAAACGCACATTAATTTCTGTTTTTATTAATTCTCCGTTTTATTAAAAAATGTATGCGCTTATGTACAGTATGTATGCTAACTAAATTATGCAAGCCACAAAAAAAAAAGGGTGTAAAAAAGCTATTTATAGAGTAGAATTATATATACGTATAGGCTTTTTAACTCGTTGGCGTAACTCCTTTTCGTTTTAACTTCGTAATATCACACGTGTCTTGCGCCACTACCTCCATACATAGTTAAGCGCAAGGTAAAATCAAGGCGTTAGTAAAGCTTAACAGACTTGTATGCATTAGCCCTTTTCGCTGCATATGACTAAGTGGCGGTAATTAAATGTCTGAGTACAAAACTTTTTGAGTAAACCCCAAATTTTGAATTTCGATAGATGTTACTACAGATTTTCGTCATTGACTTAGTGTTAGATTGATAAGATTTTCATCTAACGATATGAGGTTTACCAAAGCGAGTTAATTCAATATATTTGATCTGCATGTTACGTAAATCATGTTCTTGATAATATAAATAGTATTCCATATATTGATTATCAAAAAAAGGCAATTTTAAATACATCAATTTATTTGGTCATTCGTTAATTAGTGTTACCTTAATTTGTGTTTGACAGGTTAACTTTCTGGCAGAAAGCGTCGAACATGTCATTGAAGACGCTAACAAATTATGCAATGTTTTGATCTCTTTTTAATAAAAGATAATTCTAAAGCATCCTTCTAAATGTTCGCATCGTTAATGCTAGAATTTTGAGTTTCATTTAGATTAAATAAAAATGACCCAAAACAGATGGTGACACGGTTTCAGATTAACGTAATTAAGTATTATTCCTTACCCAGATATTATAATCATCTGATAATTTATATAGTTTTTGAGTAATAAACTGAAGGTTAAGATTACAAACTTTGCGCTGCAATGAGACTTGTATGGATTTCTCTCAAAGAGGCATGAATTGATTTGGCAAGCATTTTACTTATTAATTTTATTAGGTATTTTACTACTGCCATGTTGGCTTTTATTATTGTCCATTTGTTAGAGCTTTTTGTCTTTTGGCCCTACCGGGCACTATTCAAAATGTGTAATTTCTTTTAATTAAATGTCTTTTTACGATAATACGATTTCTACTATTTCACTAATTGTTTCATATTATTTTAGATTATTCTCCATTTTTACACTCGATTGTTCTACCATCTCACCACTCTGAAACATTATTGTCATTCTTTCAATTCATGCCCTATTTAGTAAAGGCGCCTTAAATCACATTCGTTCGATCGTAGGGCAAATGTATACATGCATGCATCTAATCGGTTCTTCGGTATACAATCATCAATTGTAACACCTACAATCATATTCTTTTTTATTCATGGTTTTTATTTTACTTGTGACAATGTCAATTCCTAACGTTAAGGATTAGTGAATCCACAAATTTAACAAATCATCTCAAGTTCAGATGTAACAGTGATTTTTTAAGGAATCGCCTGTAATTCGAATTTTCAACTATAAATCGGGTTCTGCGTATTAATAAAGACGTTCCCTGTGAAATTTTACTACATAAATGTCACGAGCACTAACCCTAACTTTAATATATCGTGTTTGAGCAAACAAATTTATTCAGCTAAATTGATTGGGTGTATTATGTACTTTAATGATTTTTGGTGAACCCACTAATCTATACATTTCTAAGTATCTGGAATTCAATAACAACACTTCTTATAACATCTGCTTACTTAAGATTTCTTATAAATCGTTTCGCTCTTCTCTCATCAGCAATATTTTACGCTGTTACTATTATAGTCTTGTGCTTTCATATCTATTTGGCATTTTGATGTGTATGTTCACTAATTATAATAAATGAAATATTGATTCATATCTTTTAATTGAATTTATAATTGCACATTTATTTAATTGTTGATCTTATTGAAAAAAAGACTATCACTATTTATGGCAAGGCATTGCAATCACAATTACAAAGTATCTTTTTTTAAGAGAGTTGGCTTATGCTTTCTCAAACTTTCTGCAATACCACTAAATGTGTTAACTAAAACTACCTCATCAATAGCTCTCGTAAATTGACATCTTAATGCGCTTGAAGAACTTTCCTTTGGAAGATAGCTTTGTGCTATATCTGCCATTTGTTTTAATGATTCGCAATCTATACTACTACTGAATAAAATCGTGTTTAAAAATATGGGTGATCTATAAAATTACAAAGAAATATGAAGCCAAAATTATAAATATTGAAATATATAAAAATGAAATGTTATTTACCCTTTATTTTTATTTTTTGAACAAATTTTGTTCAACTCATCTTTAGGTATTCCGCACTCCCCATCCGAGCAGAATAAGATAATGTTTGTCCTAAAAAAACAAAATTAATTTTGTAATATAAAAAATTTTATTTAAAATAAAATATACCCGTTTTTATACATACTTCATTGGATTAAAATGTTTTTCGATTATATAACCGGCTTTGAGAATTGCGGCATTAAAATTGGTTCCTGTTCTTGAATTGTGTTGGAGCATTATAGTGAGTAAATTTTCAGGATCATTCAAAGGTTGGTTTTCTATAGCAATAGTTGCTTCGAAATCAAAAAGTATCAAGGAAACTGTATCACGACAAACTGCCTCATTATATTGAGCAGCTTGTGAAGACAGACGCGCTTTCAGAAATGAATATACCTATAATGTTTATCAAAAATAAAATAGGTTATAATGTATAGTACAGTATAAACATGACATTTTGTTTTAAAAGATAAATTTTCACCGCATTATAAACAGCACCAAGTCGGTTATTATGATTCTTAACAAGATTTTCATAAATTGGCGTTCCTTGTATTGGTTTTTTATCTCTTCCATTCATCGAAGAAGAACGGTCCAGGACAAAAATGATATGAAAATCGACTTCATATTTGGATGGATTTTCACAATGAAAATGCTTTCAAGAAAAAAAATATATAATGATTTTGTTTATACGTGTATTTCATAACTATTTTAACAAAATAATATTTTTACACTTGAAACTTACGTGACCATCAAGTGAAATGTATCCACATTCATTTGGTGGAGTTTGCGATGGATCAAGGAGATCATGGAAAAGTCGCATTTCACAATATGATTTCGAAGGATTGTCACTTGTATTATGTTTTTCGTCTCGACATTCATGATCACATTTAGAAAATTCTTGTTGCTCTTGAGCACTATATGGATCTAATTAATCAAATGATAAATTAGAAATCTTGAACCGATTAAATTATTAAGCACATATTGTATCAACTGGATTAATATTAACATACCCTTAAACCCAGTACGTTCCCAAAAGAGACGATGTGACATGAAATCTTTTGCTTTCTCAGGATTAGGGTGAACACGACCTATAAGACACAATGTTATGGTTTGTTGAAAACTTTAATGTTTGAAAAAAAATAAAAAACGTATGTACCGTTGATATGCTGTAAATCCTGATTTAATTTACATTCATCTACATTGTTACAATAATCAATATGTCGATGTCTGCCTAATTCTTTGCAATGCTAAAAAGATATAAAAATATGAGCAAAACGAAAATATTTAAAATTAAAAATAAAATATGAGCACATGCCAGAGTACACAATACGAAAGTTCCTTCGTCACCAGCTTTTAGTTTATGACTGTATGCGAATTTAAAACGAATTGTTGAAAAAAACTTTACATTTTAAAACACTTCAATTTATTCAAACATACCCTCCATATACAAATTCATTATCATTATCTTCTGTAGTAAATTCAGTTTGTACCATGTTTCCATGACGTGTGTCATGCAAAGGTTGTAAATGCCCAAAGGGTAAATCACACTGAGAATAAGACATCGAATATTTTAATAAAACCAATTTTTAATATTTTATTAAAAAAAAAGGCTTAAACCTTACATAGTATTCACAAAATTTGCCTATTATCAATAAAAGTAAAGATTTAAGAAATTTTTTAAATCATAAATAACAAACTTCAACAAATTTAATACTTACATTTTACATCACAATAATGCATACCCTCATGAGAATGTATGCCAGCATGCTTAAATGAATCTGGTGGAATTTTTTTGCTACATGGTGATGTTTCACTCATTTGAATATACTGTTAGAAATGTAAAAATTGAGCATCAAAAGGGGTTTTTTTAATTAACTATTATTATATGAATAAATCTGTGTCAATTACCTTGGTAAAGGTGATTGAAGTATCTTTAACAAGTCCTTTATAAGTTTCTTCTTGTTTCTTTGGTTCAAGTTGAATTCTACATACTCCAGGTTCTTCACATGGTTCCTGACACTGATGTTCATTTCCACAAAAATGATTTACATCAGGATCAGAAAGGGCATGAAAATGGTCTTTGCTTTTGCAATACAACGGGCAACCATTAACTGGACATTGAATTGGGCATTTTTCATTCTCACACTAAGTTTGATGAAATGATATCAATTATCTTTATACATAAATATATATAATTTATAAATCACTATACCTGATGTTCATCATGTTGCTCTTCGCATGGTCTATTACATTCATTAGGACATTTGTATTTACCATTTTTCGTAACTAGTGAACATGGTGCTCCACAACAATGGCGCTGACATATTAAAAAACGAAATCAGTCTACGTACATTATATTCAATGCAATCTGAAAATAATAATATTTACTGTAGATTGACACAGATGATTTTTATCTTCATGACCAATTTTCTTTGAACATTTTATCTGGCATTTTCGTTTGTCAGAAAAATCACAAGTCTCTCCGCATAGGTGACTGGAACCAGAGCATGCATGCTTGCCTGCAAAATTTTAATCACATAAATTTAATAAATTTTGTATATAATTATTAAATTGTTATGTTATTTGGCGAACCTTCATGACCAGCTTTGTAGCTACATTTTGGAATAGGATTTTCATTGATGTGTGCTTCGACAAATTGACAATTGGCGTGACATTCATGACTTGCTAAACAATCATGTGCTCCTTCATGATCTCGATTGTTTAAACATTTAAGATAGCAATTATTACATGTGAGACCACATAATTCCCAGAAAGATGTAAGCATTGCTATTTCTTGTTCCATTGCATATCGACAAATTATAACATCATTATTATCTTGTGGAAATTTACTGGTATTATGTGTAAACCATTCTTGAACACGAAGGACTCGACGTTTAACAATATATTTAAAGAATTTTTCCAAACTGTCAAACCATGTAGTATCATTAGGTGCCTCATCACGCTGTTGTATATTCTCTTCAAAAAATACTCTTTGATCCAAAGAAAGACGAACAAATTCTCTGTTTTCATCGAATAATAATAATCCAGAGTCAGCAGACAAATTTATCGAATCGCTAAAATCTTCGAATATGTCAGATATGGGAACTACAGGGTCATCAATATTGAGGCCTGTATCTCGATCCTAAAAGATTTTAAACTTATTATTAACATGTTAATTAAAAATTAATTAAAATTTAAATAGCTACCAGTAAAAGTTCGGCAGTTGGATACTTTTTCTCAATTCCAAGAGAAATGACTGTCGGAAGAAATCTTTTAAGTGTCGATACACGAATTTGAACTAAGTTCTCGTCTAGAGAACCCCAATCACAAATCTGTTAAGGATAAAATATTAAAAATTTAAGTTAGAAATGTATGAATATTGAAATCAAAAATGAATATGAAATTAACGAACCTTAAGTTTAGCCATAATAACTTTTGTATTTTGTAAAAATGTGCGTGCATTCTCATATTTAGGTTGTTGCTCGTCTAAAAGCCTTTTAATATCTATTAATCTTTTAAACCAAGAAGGGTCGTTGAAAATTGGCCATGGAGTGATATTCAATCCACTTGGATACATGCGAGTTATAAAATTATTTTCGCCTTCCTAAAAAAAAAGAAAAAAAAATAGTTATATACACGAACTGATGTATTTTTATATAAAAAAAAGTATAGCTAACCTCAGCTACTAAGGAATTAAATTTTAATGAAAATTCACGAACGATATCATCTCGATCTTGTCTTGGTACATCTTTTATAATGATGCAAAGTTTTGCCTATACAAAGTAATGTCACAAAGACATTTAATAAATCAGACAAGCATTTGACTTTTTTAAATGCAACTTTGTAGATTGTACCTGAAATATCTTTGGATCAGATTCAAACAAAGTTGCGCCATCTTGAAATCTTTGGAACATTGTAGACATGTCTCTATTAACAGCAAACTGATTCTATTGTGTTATGCAAAAAAAAAAAACAACATTGATAAATGGAATTAAAATTGTTTGAGCAATAATTAGAATGAAATTTACCTTGAAAAGGATCATATTCGACACAACAGTATTAAATAACGTCAGGAATAAATCTGTACATGCAATTTATGAAAGCATTTTAATATTTTTAATTCCAATTGTGCAAATATTTAGAACAAATAAATAGTTTCCATTACCTTCTTGAGGTGTACGTTCAAGAGACTTAAGTCCCTCAAAGTCTAATGCAACGTATATATATTTCTTAGTGATTGCTATATTTAATTCATATGAATGGTATTAGTAGCACATTGCGATTAAGATATAAATTGAATAAATTGAATAAATTGATACCTAATGACATCCATACACCTTCAGTACAGCGCTAAATTAATAAAGGTACAAGAATTAGAACCATAAAAGTATTAAAGTTAATAAAATTGATAACAGAACAGCCTTACCATAGCAGAACCATCAAACGTAGTTCCAACTAAATGATTTAACATATAACTATCAAATAAGAGAAATTTGCTGAATTACAACCTATATCCTTATTATTTATACAATGATGATAATGAATAAATCAACTCATCAACTCACGATTTGCCACAACTTTGTTCTCCCATTGAACTGACTACTTTAACTTGTCTATTTCCATAATATTTAAAAATTCCTTCATACCACCCAAAACTTATATTTTGAGCAATTGCATCAAAATGTCTTGCATATTCATCTTCGGGCTCCCCTTGTTCAACATCAGATGATAAACCATCCCGAAGTGGAATGAAAAGATTATTACGTGCAACAGCAATTTGGATTGGAATTAGGACTGATAATTGAATTATCCATCTTTTTGATATAATTAATGAAACTAAATTAGCAACATATTTATTCTATTATTACCTATAATTTAATATACATACTCTCCAAGTTGATATTCTGTGGTGTTTCCTTGCTTGAAATTTATATCAATATCCAAATTATTAAAAGTGGTAACCTTTACAGTAAACCTGCAATGGATTATATTAGATATATATTATAAAGTTATTAAATTCATTTTAAAAATAAATTCTTTCAATACTTTTTTAGTAAAGTCGCGGGTTTTTTTGTTGATCGTCTTAATTCTTCAAACATCTCTGAAACATAATCTTTAAATTTGTCCTCATAATATTCTACCTTATCATTATCTTGTACATCTAAAGCAATTAGTAAACTTAAAGGTTTTATTTGTTCCGGGTCAATACAACTGTCTATTTGGTACTTTTCAAATGCTAGTTTGTAAACATCTATAAGTCCATTGAGATTTGTTTGGGGTTCAATCCCGAATTCCACCCAATCATTGTTCGCTACAGGTTTTACTACTTCAGAAATCTTCAAAAGTGTATCAGAAAGTATTTCTTTAACTTTATACTTTTGAAACGATAATACAATACTGTCTCCTTTGCGAATATATTTTGTAAAATTTGTGTTCCTTCCTTCAACAATAGACAAGTCATTGTTTTGTAGTCTTGCTTCTCCTAAAGATCTTCTGGATCTTTGTTGGAATCTATATTGTGTTTTTTCGAGGGTAATTTTTACGATTGTTGAACAGAATAAATATTTTTCAAGATCAAGAGTTGTTATATGCATTTGACGTTTTTGAATGAATGAAAATTGATAATATTCTGGAAATTTCATAAATGAAGGCATCTCGATGACTGGTAAAATAAATAAAGTAATGCATGAATGATAGATTAAAGATCAAAGATAGTTTTCTATATACAAATTGTAAATACCTTTTACAGGACTTCCAAAATTAGAACAAAAATATATGTGTGCAAAACACTTCTCAATAACATTTGGAACACTATCTTCGTTCACAATATTGTCAATTCTAATAGGGTTGCCACCTTCAAAAGACTGATCAGTTTGTACCTTTTCTTTTACAAAAGCAATAATACATGCACCATCAGGAGTAGACATAACATTTATTGCATTAGCAGGGACATGACCTATTCCTGGACGAAATTGACCACTAACAAGATTATAAATGCGTGCACGTCCTCCAACTTCCACAAAACATATGTCTTCAGTATCTTTAATGAAGAAGAAATGTTGTATATCCGGCGCCGAATAATTGTACCATTGTAATATTTGAACATTTGAATAACGTGGAAACCAACGTATATACTGCTCGTCAAATGCGTAAACATTTAACTAAAGTACCATATAAGAAAGTTTTACTATTCGTCCTTCGTAATAAATTAAAATAATGATATTAAAAAGCACAGTAAACTTACCACACCGCTTTTTATATTGTATATACCAATCAGACCTCGTGGTTCATTAATGGCAAATAGACAATGTTCATCAGCATTTAATAGCTTAAAATATTTTTTTGAATTAAAAATTGCAGTAAGGCGTGATGCAACGTCAAAAAATATTTCATATCGACATTGTTTTTTATTCCAAAGTATTATGAAGAATTTTTTATTTTCAAACTGAGAAATTTTTCTATTTTATAATAAAAAAGTAAAAATTTAAAATTTATGATTAATAATAATTTGATTAAATATGATAATTTGCTTTATAATTTGGTTAAATATGATAATTCACCTTAGATCATACACTTCTGGATCAATCATAAAAGGCGTCAAAGAAAATATAGGTTTAGGTACATGCAATTCTTTCTCTTTCAACTCAAAGGCATCAGATTGATCCAATGATGTTTCGTAAACATTGATTTGTAATTGGACGGGTTGAATTGTCTCGACTTCAACTTCAACAATAAAATCACGGTAATTGCTGCGGTAATAGCTGCGGCAATCTTCAGTGAATTTGAACGATGACTTAATACATTATAACATTTATTGTGCAAATTATAAATAATAAAATTAATTACCAATATTTAAAATCTTAAATTTGAGTTGACTACATAAAAGAATTAGCAAGTTTTATCAGTACTAATTATCATTTCGTGACATAATTTGGTTAAACCCATTACATACTCTACTGGATATTTTTCTTCAATTTTTTGACAAATTATTTCAAATTCACGCTTTTCTATATCTCGCTTCAACAACATAAGCTTTTCTTCTAATCTGCTAGTTATTTCTTTGCTCCTATCAGAAATCTTGGGCAAAATGTCTTTAATCTTTCTATTAAAAGTTTTTTCTCTCCAATTTGAATATTCATCAAAAAATGAATTAATAATTCTTTGTCTAATTTCTTTATATGAATCAAAAAGATGTGTTTTGAATAACATTTTAATGAAATTACAATCATCTTGGCTATTTAAAAGTTCAGTGGCACTGTTATACAATGCGTTTATATTAATATCATCGAATTTTAGTTTAGGAATATCATCATCAGAGTTTGAGTACTTGAAGAAAGAAACGAATGTTTCTATAAGTCCTTTCTGTGTTTCAAGGTATTTTTCACAAAGCTTTTGTATATCATTTTCTTCGTCGACAAGTATGGATGGTAAGGATTTTAAAATCAAATAAATAATATCTGCATTATGCTTATCGTCGTCAGATTCATTCATGGCAAATTCAGTAATCAATTTCGTGAAGATGTAGTATCGTCGTTTCATTTCTTTCCAAGCTTCTGAGTTAATTTGAATGGCACTTTCAATTTTTTGTCGCATACCAGGATATTTGAAATCAATGCGTTCAATAACTATGTATATGCATGTATATTTTTTATATAACGATAAATAGCATATAGAATATAAGTGATTGTACGAGATTTATATAAAGAAAGTTTTTACCAGTATTATCGATTTTAATTTGAGCACTTGAAGCTTTTTCAGATAATTGTTGTTCAAATTCACTATAAAGGAGATGAAGAATTTGAATATATTTGAATAAATTGAATATTAAAATTTATTTTTTTATACCTGTATAATTCTTTTAAAAATTTTCGTGACATAGCTGTAATATATTCTGCATCAATTTTTATATCATTCATTTCCTGTGCTTTTTTTGAATCGCTTTCCTTTGTGGCTAAAGTTATGGCATCTCTTAACGGGCTCATAAGTTCTTTTTCCATATCTAATCCATTTTTAACTAGTAATTCTAAAGATCTCATACTCATATTGCGACTGATTTGTAAAGTAAATCCTTGCAATCGGGATTGGAGATCTTTCTTGAAAGCATGCCCCGGAAAGTCGAAGGTTTTTTTTTGCATAATAGAGGTTGGCATAATTCTTTTTCGAGTGATGAATGTTTGGTTATAAGCAGATTCGACAGCTAAAAAAATTATTAAATAATTAATAATATGTACTATATACAATGGGAATAAATACATAATGAATTGTAAATACCTATAGGAGTCAATAAATCTTCTGCATCGCCATTATTTTTTAGATCTCTTTTTAAATTAAGTGGGAGATCGACCTTAGTAAAACCAATAATGAGGGAATAATTAGTTTCAAATACGATTCAAGTATCCTAACAATAATATAAAGTTAATATTCTCACAGTGAAACCCGAATATAATTTAAAATCTTCTTTTTCTTCCTGACTTTTTTTAACTTCAAATTCATAGCATGTACTATTTTTCTCATCAAAATGATCTTGTTCTTCATTTATCACGCTAAAATCAAAGTTTTCCAAATCCTTTTCACTCATAAAACAAATTTGATTATCGGTCAGTTTAGTAAGGTATCTGAAAAATTATATATAGTAATATGTAAAGAGTTTATTTAGTGGTTTATTTAATGTTCAATATAGAATCATCAAAATGATGATAAACATTTACTTATGAAGGTTAGTCATATTTTTCTTTTTTTGCGACGATGCATTTTCTTCATAGCATCCTTTTTCAGACCAATGAATTACTAATCCGAGACCAGGACTAATTATCAACAAATAAATTCCAGCTCGAAGAGTAAACTGATTCTCAGCTTCTTGATCACTTTCAGACGAATATGCCATTGTTAATAAGTCAAAGCTGTAAAAAAAAAGTGTTTTAGAATGATAATCCGATATAAAGTTTTTTTTTTCTTAACGTGATAAGACAAACCTACATTTTTTGATCGATTATATTATTTTTTAGTAAGAACTTTGCAATAATTTCATTATTTCCATAGCAACCAATAAGTCGAAATTTCATAACATTCAAGAGATCATATTCGATCTCTGAAATAGAAACAAAGCTTTTGGGTACCATTTCATTACAGAGGTTTTTAAGTGAATCTTTGGAAATAATGATTTTGTCGACTTGTAAAGAAAAATCAATAAATTAGTTTACAAATAATGAATTACAGAAACACAAATAATAGTAATGAATAAAACACCTAATCCATTTGATCCATCATCTTTACACAAATCTAACAAGCGGTATAGACCAGATATATGGTCTACGAGGTCCTTTCCATAGTTAGCATTGATATTTTGATCGTTATCCATAAAGGAGTCATCTTGAGTCGAATATCCAACATCTTTAGCATTTTGTGCTTCGGAGCAAGATTGATCGCTAGATGTGTGTGACGAAGATATAACATCAGGCAAATCGCCTTTTGCGCACTGTCCATCACCATTTAACACGCTCTCCATTGCAGACATTGAATCAGCGAGTGAGTATTACGATATTCTGCCAAAGAAAAAAGAAAAAGAATGAGAATCACAGATTTAATGTGGGACTAAACTTTGAACAGTGCAAGTTTCTAAGCTTTTTTGTTTTTGACTTTGAATTCAAAAAAGGAAAACGCGTTGTTATTTATAAATACATTCGCTGTTATTTATTTATTGGAAGTAAATGTATATTACCTCCAGAAATGAGTCTAATCGTGACAAATCATCAGGCAACAGATACGTAAGAATTGTTAAACACTAAAGTTCTATGTTAAAATTCGCTATTTTAATTATATACCTTCTTTTTTTTTCTTGTTAAAGCAATCATTGTTCATTGTCTAAAGCGTAAAGTGACATAGTTAACATGATAAACCACATTGTGACGATAATCGCAATAGACTCTATTCAGTAAAGTCGCATTAAATATATTAAATCACTTTGTTTAGTCTTTTTTCAATTGTAATTATAGTAACTTTCAAGTTATTGTAATTACTTTAGGTGGTAGAGTATAATTGGTATTAACTGGATTATTAGTAATAAAAATACTTTATGATCTTTATATAATAATTGGATATTTTCATTCGAGTTGACACAGGCCAAATTTTGATTTGGTTAAAGCGATACAGGTTCTGAATGAGTTGACAGTTTCTAGGAACTCTATAAAATTGAATCGAGTCTATTTGACTCATTCAAAAGTCGACTTAACGAGTCGTGACCATCCCTATGTATCACTAAATTAATGTAATAGCCTCGTAATCAAGGATTTTGGTACGTATCATTCGATTTGTGGCAATCGAACAATACTTTTGATTCATGGATCGCTATTAATTTGTAAATATTGTGAGCCCGATTTTTGGTGTCACGAGAGTGATGTGCCGCGTACAGTACTATACGTACAGTACGTACTGTACGCTAAAATTTTTCAGGTATCATATAAATGGCACATCACTAGTCACGAGTGCCCGAATCGGAGCGATGATCCCTACCCGATCCAAGGTCACGCGAAAAGTAACGGAAATGTACTTTTGTTACTTTCATGACCTCTATTACTTCTGCTACATATCCGTTAAATGGAATATCGGCCTTTTATTAGATATAGTTAAAATATAGAGTATAAGGAATATATTACAGTTATGAAAGAAATTAATTGCAAATGTAAATAAAACGTTTATTATAAATAAAGGGAATTTTTGCCTTGGGAAGGGACGAGAGATCCCTCAAAACTAGAGATGGGACACTGCGCAGGCATTTTTTGAGGCTGCGCAGTGCAATTTTCATAATTCTGGCCAGCTTTATAATCC